CACACTTTTAAATACATACACATACACACACGAATTTACACAAGACATTGTTTCAGTGCACGTAACATGAACTCCAACGCCATCAGACAATTGGTCGGCCCGGGAAAGAAACTGCTGCTAACCGAGGCAGCTGTCGCGCGCAACTTGTTGGCGGGTCGTCCGGCGGTGATGCCTTCGAGGCCGCGGTCTTCGAAATGCACGGACGCCGCCAATTTCCGGGAGCCTTGCAAGAAAGGTATACCCGCGCTTCGTGGGCCGTGCCCTCAAGTGCCGGACCCCTGTTGCCAGAAGCCGTGTCCGACCTCGAGGTTTCCCATAGTTTGCGGTAAGACGTGCTTTATCGAATTCGCGCCGGACCCGCTGAAATATCCGGACTGCGCTGGTCCCAGGGAACCGCCAAAATGCCATTGTCACACCGTGTGTCCGACGCCGTGTTGCTGTCCGCCAAAAGATGAGCCCATATGTTATTGACCGAACGACTGCTCAAGATCCCGAACATCCAAAATCCACCACATCTTGCCACACTGACCAAATACAGCAGAAAAATAAATGACGAAGCTTAGGGATATTGCATATGTTTAAGCGAAATAAACTTTTACAGTTTTAATCGAGTACAATTTTTAAACATCTTGGTGACCATAGCTACGGCCTGTTTTATTGGACAAGTCTCCAGTAAGCACAGATCAGCAGATACCTTCTGATTCCCTCGATCAATCTAACCTAACCTCACCCTTACCACAAAGTCCAGCTAAACGGCATACACCATGTCGGTAATCATGTCACTGTTTGCGTTTGAGAAGTAGGATACAACAGTTCAAATGGCCTTGCAATGAGCAACGAAAGATCCTTAGATACATTTGTTTATGATGGCGAGTTGCCAAACCTATGCATTCGACCGACTGTGGAAGTGTAAACGACCTTAGCCGATCCCACATCTCGACGGATGCAAAGTAAGTCTACACATTTCACACAACCGAATGTAACCTTTGTAGGCCGTCTATATACAGTACCTAACCTAATCTATTCTCTTGAATCTTGCTGAATATTGATCCTAAATACCTAACCTAACCTAACCAAAGTATGTCACCCAAGTGTAGGGAAAAATCTAGAACAAACGAATATTGTCTAATCCGCAATACTGTCTCATTCGAAATGGACGAAATAAACAATTGAAACGTGATCTTGGCATTGGATCAGCATAGTGTTTTTATGACAATCGAAAAAGTACCAAATTGTTATTTAGATATTTTGTCATTTGGAGTATAAAAATGTGGTCGTTGCAAAGAGACGCGATTGGCAAAGGCTCAAATGTATCTTCTTTTTATTAGATTTCATAATTATAACCAAACAAGAAAGAAAACTTATTCAACGGTCGGTTCACCTTAATCGCGCGGAATGAATATTAAAATGACCGTCTTGAGTGAACAAGTTTGTGCCAAAAAACGACCTTGCCAAACCGATTTTGGAATTTCTTAATTTTAACAACAAAGAACGCTGAGTAGTGTTGATAACTCCTGTCGATCGTCACTGGTGGTGGCGTACGAGGTTTTCGAAAACTAATAAAATAAGGTCGTATAGGGAGTGTCCAAGTGTTATTGGTCAAGGCAAACTATTTGCATGCGATTTCCACGGTTCAAATGGCAGCGGTGTTTGTTTAAGAGAGCATAGTTTAAGCTCGAGCCGGGTTCCAACTTGTATCGAATTAACTTTCAAACGCCCTTAGTCCAAAACTTACCTGAACTTTCGACCCACTCAAACGTTTGTTAAGTTCCAAACCCCTGTAATCTAACCTTTTTAAATCGCCCCTACGAAAAACGTTTAGGCGCGAAATATGATTGCAGTTTTAAAAACCAACTTATATATAGACATATTGTATCTGTGCTATAGATGGGTTATATTAAATCTTTGTTTCAAGAACGTTTCTAATTCTGTCGGAACGGTACATTTCAAATGACATTTGTCATTCGTCATTCGATTTATTTATGTGTTTACTGGCAACCGTGTCAGCCTGAAATAGATGTAGGCAGAGTTAAAAATAATAATTGGAAATATGGCGGCGTGCATGTTGTCGCGGTAACGTCTTAGGTACATCTAATCGTTTGTTTGTCTTGCGACACTGAGGCAACAACTGTCATAACGCCACCCATGTTCAATATGATTGTCTCTTAAGTGCTTAGTTGTGCTGAGTACCTTTAAATTTTTTACTAGCCCTCGAGAATTAATATTTAGTATTTGGAATGTTTGTATTGTATAAACATTGAGTATCATCTAAACAAACAACTATCAACTTTTTTTAAATTAAAATGAATTCGATCGTTTTTAACAAATTCTTTATAATTTAGAAAGTTAATTAAATTGATTTTTTACCATTTAGCTCTACAAGTTGACAAAGCTCTGGAAAAAATAAAAATGATAAAAATTTAAATAATTGTTGTAAAATAACATAAACTAAAGTGTCTACAAATAGAGAACCTAGACAAACTACAAAATTGCAATATTATTTTAAGAGAAAATGAGTGTTTTGCCCTTAATATTAATACAACTATTACTCAACTATGGACAATGAGTATACAGGGTGATTCTTTTATCATGGACCAGTCAATATACTCACTTGGTTTAATATTGAGTTTGTTTTTTTTTCTTAGTATTTTTATTTAACGAGATATCAGTTTTCCAAAAAACGCCTCCCAAATTAATTTTTTTGATAGCAACTATAGATTTTGAAACAGCAACTTATATATATTTTTTTTTTTGCTAAAATTATGAAGACTTTTCATCCACTAGGCATTCGATCATAGGTTCCAATGGTCATAGTGCATAATAAAGTTATCGTAGATATTGTGGCGGATGCATGTCACCCCAATAATAATGTACCTATGATTTTCGGTTGAATATTTCATACTCATCAGTTATCACTATTTTGCTTAAAAAAATCCACCTTGGTTGTGGTATTTGTGGTTGAGCATTTATACTTAATATCATTATTTTGTTTTTTATTATGAAACGAAACACACTAAATTGATTAAGGTATAGCAGATTGTAGAATGTTAATAATTTTGTAAAATGGAAATACTAATTTACAGTTACATACTTTATGTTATTACTCGGGTATTTGTTCTTAATTTAATAAATCATTTTTGTAATGTCAGTGCAGGTGAAAAATAAACTTTTTTAAAAAAAACTTAAAAACTAGTAGATACAAAAAAAAATTGTATAATATGTTTAATAATGCTAACAAAACAAACAAGCTTGTTCCTTATTGTTGTCTAAATTGTTTTGAAGCATAATTTTTAAAAAAAAATCGTTTCATTTAAAAATCAAATGTTGCTATCAAAAATCTAATTTGAGAAGGGGATAGGAACATAAAAATTTGTGGTAAATTTATATGAAAAAAAAAAAATGAAATTACCAATTAAACTCAGTGAGATATTGAGTGGCCCACGATAAAAGAATCGCCTTGTATAATATGTTTAATGGAATTTTTTTAGCAAACAGGATTTAATAAAAACTTTATAATTATTATTAATTTTGCTTGTCTGAAATATGTAATTAAAAAATGTTTTAAATTATACCTACCTAGTACAGGTGTTAAGTTTCTAGTGTACAACTTGATAGGTAACTAAAAAAAAATGTTTTCTCTACTTACTATGATGTCTGCGAATTAAGATGAGTTCGTTTTACATATTAGCATTATCTTGAAGGGTAATTGTTAAAAGTCAAACAGCAACATGTTTTTACTAGATAATATTAAAAATAGATTGGCGAAATACAAATAATGCCTAGTCGATACCAGTTTTGAATAAATACTTTTTGAGTATGTGCACTTAAAGTTTAAGTGAGGACGAATTTTTATTCTATTTTCTATTTTCCACTTCCTAATTATTATAAAGAATAGCAAAAAATTAAGTTTTAATCTCTGCTTATAACGGACGGCTCTTTTGGGGTTAGGTTTGGTAAGATCTGTGCCAGGCTCTTAAGGTCGATAATAGTTTAACAGCTATTCAGTTATTTGAATGTTCTTTAAGATACAATTTTGAAAATGTTTAACTGTTTGACAAAAACTTTTTTAAACCAACTGAACAGAAATAATGTAATTTTAATACACCGGATTTTTTAAAGATAAATGTTGCTGTATAACTGTTCTTTTGGAACTTATATCACTTATTTTAATTTCCTAAAGTAATCGATAAGAAAATTAAAGTTCTATAATCAATTTTTTTCGAAAAAGATAAAAGGTAATCTCAGAATTTGATTTCCGGTTTTGAGTCGTTCAACTTATCCACGAACTTGCTATTAATTATACTTATCCCTTTACTTTTAACCTCTGGTTGCTTAAAGTCAATTTCAAAGGGCTTTTATGCGGACTATGTTAAGTATAAGTTCGTTCCAAAAGAGACGGATCCTAAATTACATCTGATTGTCACCTATTAAAGTTGGCACAACTGCATGCAAAATAAATTTTATCTGATATTTTTACTTAGATATGTTTAAAATGAAATTTAAAACTGGCAATGCATTTAGATATAGCTGATGTTGGTTTGTGTATAATATTTTAATTATTGTATAAAAAACGTATTGATGAAAAAATCTAAATTTTTAATATCTTAAGTTACTAATATTTAACTTTAAACCTAATACTTTATTTACATTATGTCTTTAGCATAATAATTATTGTGCATCATATTATACATTTTTAATACCGGATACTAGTCAAATTGTCTCCACAACAAGCTTAGCTTAGCCTACATATTATATTTTATGTAGTATAATATTGTAATATTATTCAAATTTGTATAACTAAAATAAATAAGTCTAAATAAAAAGAGGAAACTAATCATTCTTTTAAGAGGAACTGGACCTAATTCCTGACGAACGGAGAACTGAACGAGTTCCCTTTACAACGAAACTTTGCCAAAGCTGAGCCCGGGCTTGGATTACCCGGCTGTACCGAACGACACTCGGAGCTGCTAAAATGGGTCACGCCCGTAACGACAACTTACCTCGGCGAACGACTTCTTGGTGTACTCGTTTAGGGTGCGTATCCACTGGCCGAGCATGTACTCGACGGCGGACAGGTCGGCGTGCAGCCACCGGAACAGGTCGTTGGTCCAGCGGACGGCGTCGGCGTCGTGGCCGGTGGCGGCCGGCGGGCTGGGGGTGGCGCGATGCGTGTGCAAGCTGCGGGCCGGCGACGGCAGGTGATCGACCGATGGGTAAGCCGACTTGCTGGCGGCGGCCGCGGCGGGCACGGCGGACAGGCCGGCCGCGACGCCGGCCACGGCGGCCGAGGTGCGACCCGACTTGGAGCCCAACCGCTTACGGGCCGTCGGCGGTGTGGGCGGCACCACGCGTTTCCGGTCGCCGGCCGTGTCGGTTGCGTCGGCCGCCCGGGAAGTCGCCGGTGCGCCCGCCGCGGATTTGCGACCGGAAGCGTACCGGACGGCCCGGCTGTACGCGAATTTACCCACCGCCAACGCCACCATGCCGACGACGGCCCAGCAGAACAGGTACATGATCAGCGTGTCCATAGTTTTACCATCGCTTTCGAAACTACAGATGAGATCGTCGATGGTGTCGGCCAGATCAGCCATGTCGGCCCATTTTCGTCGGGTGTGCCGCAAACCAGGGTCGCCGTCGCACCCGTTCACACAATCGACACCGGCACGGCGTAAACGGCGGCCGTCGGACGTGCGACACCACGGTGACGCTGTTTTGTGTTGTTGCAATAGCGACACTCGGCGGGACTCGAGTGCTGTTCTCTACACTTTCACGCCGGACACGGCGGGACGACTAAGCGAACTTGGCCGCCGGCGGCAACACACGGTACAACGGTAAAAATAGAAATAGGGACTGTATGTATGGCCACCGCCGCCGACCGAGTAGCTGGCCTGCCGATGTACTCACGCCAGAACGCTGGCCCGTCGTCTACTGAAAGTGTATAGAGTTACATTTTTTTAGTCATCGTCGTTAGCCAAACGATACATTTTATTATTATTATTATAATTATCATCTGCGTTAAAATATATATTATATTTTATTATTATATAATGGTAATATTATATTATATTTTATTAATAATATACACACAACAATCAACAATTAACAACTTAATTGTTTGCACAGAATCTAAGGAAAACATTAGGAAAAAAACAAATTTTTGTACTCATACATTCAATTTTAGTATATTATATTAAGAATTTGTATGTTTTTGGGCGCTCTCACACAAAATAATTTTTCATTAGTACAAGTCACTAACTTGAGATTTTACTTAGTAAACTTAACCATGAGGTCAATATTAGGTTGTTTGGTACATACCGTTAAAGCAGTGTTTTGACTTTTACCATATCGTTTTTGTGTATTTTCTGGGTGTATTACCTGTTTTCTATGAAAATAATAAACAAAATGGATTTATATGATGGTTTTTTATAACTTTTATGAAAACGTTGAATTAGCAATGCCGAAAAACGTTGACAAACCAAAAAAATTGCATAAACTCATTCCCCTAGAAGGGCTGTAAACTTGTCCTTATTTCGCCCTAAAGTGTTGGGGATTATAAGGTCTCTGAAAGTTAGACCGAAAGTTCATCTAGAACGGGGATAGTTCCTTAAAAGTAGTACTTGTTTTTACCACCCCATTAATTAATAATTTACAAAATGTAAATTACATTTTTAAATGTTAAAATAAATTTATAAAATATTTTGCGTTATTTTGTTTGACAAACATTGCCCTTTAAGTCAGTACGATGTCTCTGTGAAATAGGTATTGAGAGCGACATCTAGTGATTTAAAATGGTAAAAATGTGTTACTAAATTATTGTTTCTTCCGCTAGAATACACTACCCGTTGATTGGTTAACTACGACCCAGTCAGTTTCTTAGAACATATTAGATTATTTTTAATTAATTTTTCTATACCTTTTATAGATATCAATTGGGTGGATTTTAATAAATTTAGCTAAAATATAACCTCCTTTCCTTATGTGAGTTAAAACCCTACGAAGTTTAGATTTTTAAAAGGCAACCCCTTTTTTACACATATTTTAGTGAGTAGTTTTTCTTGAAAAATCATGTTTTTTAAAAAAAAAACATAAAACCGAAAAACATTGAATGTAAAAACAACCGTTTTAAGTTTAAGCAAATAGTTTTGAACCACTCCAATAAAGATTCAATCAACTATATTATTATTTATGTATTTTTAACAAACAAAAAATATGGTCTTTGAACACGCTAAGCGTACTTTTAAGTGATAATTCAGTAAATTTAAAGGACTTAAACACATCATTTAAGTCTTTATATTAAAGACTACCGTTAGTTATGATCCAACTGATTTTAAATACAAATCTGTATCAACTTTATTGAGCATCTCATAATTTCATCACAACTTAAATATGTTTGACAAGATTGCACATACATTAAATCAAATGTATAGATCATTTAAATCTGGTTCATTATCTAATTAGTTTTTGTTTTGTTCCCTAAAGCTGTTTAATACCGTTCAGTATAGTTAAAAAACACAAATGATAAAATTCACACAAAAATTAATTCGACCGCACTTCACCACCGGGCTTAAGTTTTTAACTTTCACCTATTTTCTAATCTACCGTTTTTTCTTACCTACATATGTGGTTAATGTGACCCCAGACAATATATTGTATAAAATCACCACGTTATCGAAATAGAGTATAGAAAAATATTTATGGTCGCGTAGCTAGGCAATTGTTGTATGATGTAAAGTTTTTTAATTATAGTCTAACGATACAGTCTATTTTTTTTTTTTTATACTTGACAAAAATACGTCGTTTTTTTTGTGTAAAACAATATTATTTATAATTATTCAAGAGTTTAAACTAAGCGTTTTTCACAAAGAATTTGACTAAAAAATACCAGAAAAACGTCCTTGGAGATAAACGTGGTCGATAATTGCATAGTTCCTGAGGACCCTAGAGATACTGAAGCCTGAAGCTAGGAAAGAACTACATAATAAATATACTGATACTACCCAAAATCGCATGCTATAGAAAGATTTAACAACCAAAGGGAATGGAAACCGGTCTGTATTTTTCACAGATTGTATTCAGTTTTAAGTGAATAAAACTGTTATTCAAAAATCTACTTTCACAATAACCTGGGAAATAAGGCCGATGGGACCGAAACATAATATGTATTTTTTGTACCACCAAAATAGATTCAACTGTTAGAAAAAATTGTATACGTACAAAATATACTATTCGAAAGCTTATACAAAATAACGTGAAAAAATTTGATACTGTCGAAATTTATTAAAACCGCTTTTTTCTTAAATATTGCCTATATAGAACTACCCGCTTTCAATCCCTCTTAACCGACTTAACACTTTCAAATTTAATATTGAATCTTATAATATCCGATGTTGTAATTGTGTTGTGGTGATTTTTGGAAAGGTGACCTTCGGCTAAATTTAATTTAAAAAAAACTTTTTTATTTATACTCAAATTTCATAATTAATTTTTATATTGAAAAAATAAACAAATCATATACACGAATAGTTAATTTATGTAGAAACTTATTTTAATATATTTTTAAATCTTCTAAAGACCTCATAAATGGTACAATTGGTTTGATTTTTAATTTATAGTAACGATATAGTATGTGAATTTGTTTTGTATTTTTTCGATTGATAATATATTATTGTACTATTGTCAGCTTAGGTAACCCAAACATTTCGTTAGCAACGGAATAATCAGAATCGCCTGGACGATCAATAAACTATAAACATTCCTTTACTGTTATTGTAAATTGTTTCTTAATAAAGTTTAGTGAATCAATATCAACGGAAAATATATTAATTGAAAATTAAATTTTTTATTTTTATTTCTTATAGTTCACCTCCTACGATACCATCGAATTTATTGAAAAAAACCCGAAAATCGATACAGTTGGCTTTCGATACAGCCGAAAAGGTCGACACAATAGACACAGTTTGTTATGTAATTAATTAATAAACGATCAAACGATTGAAAATCCAACCGTTTTTATTTAAATTGTCTTTCTGCATACCTAATTTCAGTTGGCCCACTCACCACCGCCATCAGCGAATACCAGAGAAGCCAAAAATCTGACACTGCTACAACCTTCTATATGGCTTTATCGCAAATGGAAAGTCGACGTATTGCTCCACAAGGAAGAGAAATAATACAAACAAAAAGAAAAAAAAAATAGACAAGCAAGAATAGACAGCCACGCAAGACGACCAAGATGACCAACCGCTGTGGCTATGGTCCATCGCTCGGGATATGAAACTACATCCGAAAATACCACAAGTACACACAAAATAATTACAGATTAAAAATATATTAAAACATTAACGTACTTAGAGAGTATGTAGGAAAAAAACTTGAGCCCCGTCTCTCCCCCACCCTAAAATTTTATATATATATATATACCACGGACGATTGTGTATACTATATAATAGTGTATACTACCTCTCTTCTTTTCTAAAGGCTAAGCTTTGTCATAGCGAAAAAATAGACTTCCACTCTTCTCTCTTTAATGCTAGATTCTTCATATGTGAATACCCGTTGCATCCAGCCATTCCAATCACCCAAGCAGAGGTTAACTGTTAAGTAGAAAACAAAGTGTGATATTTAAAAGTTATCTAATTTTCTAAACAGTTTTTAATCATTAATTGTATTAAAATTAAAATTTTAAAATACAATTGAAGAAAAAAATACTAATGAGGTACCTAACTGATGTATTAAATACTTTTATAAAAATATTTATTTTTATTTGTATTAATTTGTTAAATTTATAAATATTTTAATCTTTATATCATTAAAATTGTTTTTATTAAAAGAGGTACCTAATTCAAATATCAAGTACAACCCGCTTTTAAAATATTTATTTGACAGCCGTCATTGTGTCCAACGCCCTGCGGCATACTTTGACTATTTTTAAAAAAAGTGTTCTAATAAAAATGTGCTTCAGTTATTCAATTTATTGATGTGTATTAGAAAAGCTAAGAAAATTTGGACTATATTCGTACACGTTAGAATTCAGTATCATTTAAATTTAAATAATTAGGTATTTGAAAAATAATTATTAGTGTCTCACTGTGGCCACTTCCAACTACCCTATTATACATGTGGATATATAAGTGTCAGGTAGGCACAAACATAAATAGTACATGATTAATAATAATTTGTATCCATTCATTAATATTTCTCTACTTCAGTTTTGGCATACTTAGTTATTTTTTTATTACAACAATAATAGAGTACCCAGCTGTGAGTACCACAGCTTAAGGAGCGTAGAATCGCCAATATTTTTTATTTCACGTTCGAATCTGGATAAACTTTTTTTTTTTTTAACATATTTAAAACTTTTATTTTTAAGTTTTAATTTGACTTAACTTTAAACCTTCGATCTCCTACTAGACTGTAGCCTGCAAATCTAGGATATTTTTAGTGTTTAAACTTACTTGCATACTGTTTTAACTTGAATAATATTTAAATTGAACGTTAATTTTTATTTGTATTATATTTACCCTTGTTTTGTGAAATGTGTGTATTTGTTATATTTATTTTTTATACCAAGAGCAAATAACACTGTAAGTACCTTTGCTTTATATTTAATGTTTTTATCGTATAAAACAATAGGTAATGTAGTCTGTAGGTGTTTTAAATTTGAAACAACCCTTGTAATTAGTATATCGTAATTAATCGATATATTTAGTATTGAGATACTTATATGTTGTAACTTATATAAATAAAGGGAAAATTAAAATTTTTAACCAGGTAACCAAAACAATTTTTTTTACTAAATAATTTAAATTCACAGAAAAAAATATAGTTGGCCCACTAAAAAATTATGGTTATTATAGCCCGTATACAATAATAATAAATAAATAAATAAATAATATCACTAGTAATACATACATAATATAATTCATTTAATATAAATACGTTTTTTTACCTTTTTAAGGAAAATCGTATTAACTGGTTTGTAAGTGCTTAAATTATTAATAAATATATGTTATTATATAAATTATAACCTAAATCCTAAAACATTTAATAATACCTATATGTGTATATAATTTTTGTTAAGATATAATTATACAGTTTATTAGTTTGATATAAAAATATAATAAGTTAATTTTTTGTTCATACTGCTTGTACATAATATATTTTATGAATTATACTCAATTTTAATAACCTATGTATATGTATATTAGCATGGTTTTTTAATGCTTCATTCCACAGTAATGTCATTAATGTGTCACGCCAGTACTGCTCCATTATTCTACCAACATTTTTATGTATAACACGCCAGCACTGTGTCATTACTGCGCCAGTACTGCGCTATTGTTCTGTCAGTATAAAATTATTTATAATGCCAGTACTGTGCCATTACTGCGCCATTATTATACCAGCATAAAATCTGTATCGGTTATCAGTACTGGACCAGTGCTGCGCCAGTGCTGGCTGTCAGGACAGAATAGCGTTATCATTTGGGAGTTACGCCAGTACTGCGCCCTTGGTAAATTTCTGCTTGGGCATCTCTCTTATGAATGTCTTCCTCTTCCATTGCGTCCATTGATTATGTTGGTTATGAAGAGGTTATGTCTCACTAAGTGTCCTATAAGCTTTCCGCTTCTTGATCTAATGATGAATAGCAAAACTCTCTTCTTCTCTACTATTTGGAGAATTTCTTCATTGCTCTTCCTTTCAGTCCAGCTAACACGAAGTAATCTTCTCCAGGTCCACATTTCCATTGCTTCGATTTTTTTCTTATCTTGTGTTGTTAAGGTCCAGGTTTCACTACCATACAACAAAACACTCCATACGTAGCTTTTGGCAAAGTGTGTACATTACCTACCTACTCTAAATATAACTTTTTCACGTATCATAATTTCCCATAAAATGAAGATTTTTTTTTTTTTTTTTTAAAATGTAATCAAACAGTATTGATTTTACACGTTTTGTATATGGTCACTATATAGTTTATTTGTTAGGCAACCGAGTAAATATTGATTATATTCTGAAATAAGTCAGTTGTAAATCAGTTTTAGTTTTGTTTTTTCATTACTGAAAAATATTTTATATGTTAAGTATTAGACACATGGCGAAAATATACATTCTCAAAATACACGAAACGCCATTGGACCAGTTTTATGTCGTAAGTCTACATATTTGAAATGACGCAGACCAAAGTTACTATAATTTTACTGATATTTTGAAAAAATTCACACCACGCCGCACAGTTTTTTAATTTAAAAAAATATCCTAAATAATCGTCTTTCGACTACAAAATACGACCGACGTTAGACGTAGTTTTCCAAATAATAGTCTCAAAAATTTCAAACAGTTTGTCTAAGATGTTGTTTAGATAATATAGTTGTATATTGTGTAAAAGTGTGTAGGTATCATTTTAAGAGTGTAAATAAAAAAAAGGCATTTTCAAAAATCTGAAATCAACTTTTTTTTTTATTGAGTAATTTTAAGGTATTAAATTACTTTTAAATATTATAATCATTTCTAAAACACGTACCAATCAACTGTGCTATCTTTTAAAATCCCAAAAATCAAATATTCGATTGTTTTTTTAATATAAGTTCTTGTTGGCTGTTGCTATGTTTATTCTCAATATATATTTGTTACCTAACTAAATATTCGTTATAAAAGCGGATTGTTTACTTAGCTTGCTTTCTTTCAAATATTAATGTCAAAGTGATGAACTGGACTCTTGAAATAAACTAATTGAAACGGGATGTGATTGTTCAGCTAGCAGTTAACCTCTACGAAGTGCAGATACAACTTGGGTTCATTCGACTGTCAGGTCAGATTTTTATTTTACTTTATATTTGTTTGTAGTTTAATAATAACCTGACAATACGCTCTCCTGTAAAATCACTGAAATCGACTTACACACTTATTCGCAGTTGTTCCAGATATACAGACATGAGCAATACTACCGTCTTAACTACCATGTCTGCCAATTATTCACCAATAATTTACCAATAATGCACAATAAATAAACTGTTCGTTAGTTCACAAAATATAAATGTAGAATAATAAATAGATATGAACACAATAAGTAATAAGAAATCACAAAAAAAGTACACAAAAAGCAATTTTACAAATAAACAACAATTTTAGATACACAACAATACGATAAATAACAAATTATGAGATCCTCGGGCCGTTTAAGCCGTATACTTCATAGTATACTGGTACACTATACAGGAACATAATATATATAAAACTAAAATTTAGAATCCAGAAGTTACAAGAAAATTCTACCTCGTTATAAGCGACCGGAATATAATTGTATCAATGTTACATCTTTTTGGTCGCCAGATAACATTATGCAGTATAATGTAATTTTTTTTTGCTACTTTTAATTCTATATCTTCAAAACCTCTCGTCTTTCTCGAATTATTGTGTATTATATATTATCATACTAGACCGCTTAACATGAAAAATTATAGCAACCATTAGAGCATTGATTAAAACTATATTATTAAAATCAATAAATATTTATTTAATTAATAGTAGTTAGTACATCTTTGTGTGTTGTTCAAATAAACAACTTGTAGGCATTGTAGATACAAAACAAGTTTTCAGAAAGAAAAATTATGAAGTCACTTTATTAGTGGAGTCACTCGTGGTTATTTTACACAATTTTCAACAAAACTTACCTAAAACAAACGTCCTAGGACGTTAAAAGGATCACTCAGTATAACTCAATACTTAGTCGTAGAACGTGCGTTCCTTATTTAACGTACAACGCAATGGCCATTAACATATTATTTATGGGCAGTATCCCTGACACTGAGTTCTATATACAATTAAAAAAAAAACAACTATTTACAATATAACCAAAAAATACAAATATTAATACGGTGCAATCAAATATATATATATATAATTGCAACCAAAAATTACCGTATAAAGAAGAGCGGGCTGAATCGTTTGAATGTTAAAATTAAAAACATGTCATCACGATACGCGCTAGTTAGAAAAAGACAATGTAAAAACACAAGTGATGTCCGCACAATCCAAGAGAGACGACTTCTGTAAAAATAAAGTTTGAAAAATAAAATTAAATATAAAACATTGTATTAAAAGTTCTGAAATGACTATAACGACTGTTATTATAAATGCATATTATTATTATCATAGATTAAAATATATACTTATTAAGTATATTTATTCTATGTTATTATATATAAACTTATATATTTAGTCATGAAATCAACATTGAAAAGTTGGTACCTCGTTATAAACCCCTTTTTCCACGGTGCCTTTTTTCATTATTTGCCCGTCAACGGGTATTGGTTTGGTATTGACGTGTTTGGGGTACGCGAATGAAACAAATCCCAAAGCGGTTAGTTTTATATAATATAATTGCCATAAATACATTTTAGGTAAATAATTATAGTTGTAAATCACATACCAAAACTCTCACTCGTCTTCAGACTTCTTGGCTTTGCATAGTTAACAATTTTCGAAGCCTATAATAATATAAAATTGTACTGATTGAGTCTTTTAGCGCCCTACACTACTTTACACAAAAACTACTTAGATTTTTACAACAAAAAAATGTTTAATAATTTGTTTTTGTATAAAATTTATTTAGTCATGAAATCAACATAGAAAAGTTAGTACCTCGTTGTGCACTGTACCGTTGTTCATTATTGCGTAGACAAAACAGACATTATTAGGTAAATAATTAATAAATAAAATAAAGCAATTTATTACAACGCAAGCTTAATATAGGCACCAATTTACACAAACTAATTTTAAACCGATTTTCAAAATTTATAAAAAGGTAAATTTATTTATTGTCTATAAAATTATTATATTCAAGGCCTACCAAAGTTCTCGAATTATTAAGGGGTTACATAATATAGAGAGATTATGTCAAAATTGTATTTAAAAATAAAACTTCTGTGTGATTTTATCAATGAAGGGTATTTGTGGATAATTTTTTTTTATTTTAGTCCAATAAAAAATAATTATAATAGTCTTTAAATAACGTCTGTTTCCAATGTTTTCAATATTTTTCTTCATTACTATAACAGCTGCATCCTACTTTGCCTGTATTAATAGTGGTCATTCAATTCTGAAATTTTAATGGCACTTAAAAAACTAATAGTTACAATATTATAGAGCATACATCGTCGCTTTTTGGTACTGGAATTAACAAAGCTTTTTTTTAAATTATTATAAAAACAAAAAAAAAAGCGAATTTAAAAGAATTAATAAAAATTAAGCTATTTAAGATATAAAAAAAACGATGGTATAAAATATTGTTTTCCGTTAGCCAGTTTGCGTTTAATGGAAAAATATAAAATTTCTCTATACTATATTAGTGTCAAAACTGCTTGAAGCGTTATGTACTCAATTTATATACTACTAGACTGAATACCGGCTGTGCTGGGTACAACGAGTTCAGTACAGTCTGCGAATCCAAAACAATCTACAGTAATTAAGCTTTCAGTAGCATATCGATGACCCCATCTAGTAAAAAATAGTTCTTCTTAGACTTGTGCCGACTTGACAATATCCAGTTTTTGATGTTTGTAATACGGTTAGTAATACTGTGCAGTCTTATTGTAGAGCCCGAAACCATTAAAAAAAAATATATATATTTTTAATAACTTAATTAAATTGAACACATATAATTGTGTTGCGGGTGCAATACGTTTTAGTCTGATAAGTAATAAGTCGAATTGCCACTGTACGGTAGGTGTACGTATATCATCTCAGTTCTGTAAATAAAAATCGGTTTTATTAATTTAATAGATTTTGTAAAAATTACCAAACATATGTGTGCTAATTGCGGGCCGGAGAAGGTGTGTCACAAGAAGAAGTGACCTGTCAGAAGGGCTCTACGTCGCGTTAGTCGCCTTTTACGACAGGAGCGAAGACCTTGGTAGTATTCTTTCTCCCCTAACCACAAGGATATCTTTGTTATTATATATAAACTTATCTTATTAGTAATGAAATCAACATTAACCGCGCAATTTTACCAAAAGAGTATGTACATTTCATTTCACGGTGTCTTACCTTTGATATAAATTACCAAACCTTTTTTTTTTTGGCGGAGTTTGGCCTTTCTTAGGCCAGAACGTAAACGTTTTTCCATTCACAAAAACTAGGCCTATCATCACAAACTGCAAAATACGTGCAAAATGTGTGTACGTCGATAACCGTGCAATTTTACAAAAACAGTTAACGTAGACAAAGCAGACATTTTATACTAAACAAGACAAACACTAATATTATAAATAAATATTATTATTATCATAGATTAAATATACTTAATACATAGTATATTTAATGTATGTTATTAAATATTAATGAACTTATTTATTTAGTCATGAAATCAAAATTTAAAAGTTACAATATACAAAATATAAATACTAATTTATTATATATATATATAAATCATGGACGATTGTGTATAATATATAATAGCGTATATTACCTACCTACTCTAAATATAACTATATTACAATTAATATTTATTATTACAATAGTAATAGTACACTATTACTGTATTAATACACAGTAAATATATTAATTTATATTAACTATTATACAATTAAGATTTTTTTTTGTTCAGATAATATAGTTGTATATTGTGTAAAAGTGTGTAGGTACCATTTTAAGAGTTTAAATAAAAAAAGGACATTTTCAAAAATCTGAAATACACTTTTTTTTTAAGGAATTAACTCACTTCTAAATATTATAATAATTTCTAAAACACGTATTAATCTATCTATACTATCTTTTAAAATCCCCAAAATCAAATATTCGATTGTTTTTTTTTTTAATATAAGTTCTTGTTGGCTGTGGCTATTTTTGTTCTCGTTATATTTTTATTCGTCATCAAAGCGGATTGTTTACTTAGCTTGGTTTCTTTCAAATACTAATGTTGTGTTTGAAATTTTAAGAATATTATTGTTTTTATTTCTCCGCTATTTTAGACATGATATCTACTTAAAAACACGGTCAAAGTGATGAACTGGACTCTTGAAATAAACTAATTGAACGGGATGTACTTGTTCAGCTAGCAGTTAACCTCTACGAAGTGCAGGTACAACTTGGGTTCATTCGACTGTCAGGTCAGATTTTTATTTTACTTTATATTTGTTTGTAGTTTAATAATAACTGACAATACGCTCTCCTGTAAAATCACTGAAATCGACTTACACACTTATTCGCAGTTGTTCCAGATATACAGACATGAGCAATACTACCGTCTTAACTACCATGTCTACCAATTTCACGAAACTAGACAAACAAGCTTAACTTGATTAAAATGCTTACAAACCATAAATAAATATTTTACACTTATTTTGTAATAAAAATTAATGAAAAAATATCCAATTTCGACACTGGCAATCACAGTAGCGCGTAAAAGAACGGGAGGGGAAACTAACTGTACTAAATTAACAGAAATATAAACCCTAACACAATAGTACGAATTAATATAAAAAATGACTAAAAACTCATTTCTGTTATCACTCTTTATTTGTACAATTTGTACACTTTTTATTATGTACAATTTGTTTGTCCATTTTTTAATAAAATTGTTTTCTTACTATGATATTGTTTACTTCACTGTGATAGATTTGTCCCATTTTATTATTTAATGTCAATACAGTCTTTTTAGTATTTTTTACTTTAGATAAAAGTTTTCAAAATGTTGACATTATTTGAATTTTTATTTTTTTCAACTCATCAATGGATTTTGGTGTACTTAAATTGTCTATAATGTATTGGTAAGAATCGTGAACGATTTAGATTTTTATTATCGGGGTCTCTTGGATTCCATACACATGTGCATCTTATCATAGAATTTTTGTACTTAAAAAAAAATGATAAAAACCAGATTAAATAAAATAAGCAAAATATCGATGGCATAGTGCACACTTGTTATAAGTCACAAAACTAAAATTGTTCAGGAGAACGAAAAGAACTTTTTTTGAATTTATGCGAATTCAAAACTTAAGTAATATTTAATCAAATTATTATCTAAAATCAAAATTAAACTTAAAAATACACGTAGTTTCATTTTATTTAAAAGCAATTTAAATAACATTTTTTTTATAAAATGATGTGTCATTTTTTGAAAACTTATGTGGACTTATAATAAAGTAACAAAATTAATTTAGATAGGAATGGACTTGTAATGAATAAGTGGACTTACAACAATTTCTTTTTTTAACAATTTACTATATTTTATTTACTACATTTTTAGTTAAATCAAACCATACATTTAGTTAGACCAACTATTTATTTAGTGATCCTAATTAGTAATTCATTTGCCCCCGTATTAACTATAATTTTAATTGAACTAACTATATATATTTTCTATGCAGTAGACTAAAATAACTACAAAAAAATATTTTTTATAGTTAAAATAACTAACTCAGACAAAAAAAATAACTAACAAATAAGTATTAAAAAATGTTATGACCATTATTTTTAAAAACAATCAACTACTAATGGCTTACTTATTTTTTCAACAGCTTCAACAATTAAGCATACTGTAACGTAGAAAGTTATAAATTGAATATAATAATTGTGTTTATGTAAATTTGTACTAATTTTTTATTGTAACTTATGTACCCGGTGTACGTTTTTTTCATACTTTGACATAAGACTTTCTTATATTTTAGACCATAGCCAACATCTCCCCCCTCCAGGTAAATTACCTATCTATCTACTTAAATAATATGTTTATTATACTGTCAAAATAAAAATTTTAATTTAAGAAATGTCTTTAATAATATATAATATAGTTCTAAATAAATTGTGTACCTATATTATTTAATATTTATTTATGAGGTTTTATCATAAAATCCTATAACTTATTAATTTATTAATTTATCGTAATTATACTATGGAATTGATACTAACTTTTGTCTTGATGCTTTCAAAACGCGGGAAATAATAAAAATCCTATAAAGTTCATCACTGAACTTATTGCAATAGTAACGAAACACAACAAATAGTCCACTGCTTCATAGTTAATATTTATGCTCAAATATTGTACTCAAAGTCCGTTGACAGAAATATGTATATATTAACTGCACACATATTATAAGTCCGAACTTATTATATGTGTGCAATATGATAACTACACTTGTATAGAACATCAAGGACTGAACATCTTAAGTTGAGGACTTATTACATCTGGGCAAAACAATAAATCAATAAAATATGGGTTATAGGAATTTGCCTGATGTATGAAAAATAAAGAAAATTCAAATTTCTATCCATTGATATCAAAAAGGGTGGACTTATAAAAAGTGTGCACTAAGCATACGTAAAATAAAAATAATACTTACTTGTGATTTAACACAAAAAATCTGTACACCTGCCCCCTCACCCAACCACTAGAAAAATGATTTTAAATGAGCCCCTGAGTTTAACGGATTGTCTCCAAACTAGTGGATTCAATTATAAACTAATAAATTCATTGTGGTTTCGTTATGAAACAAAAATATATTTATTTATGTTTTGCAAATATTTTATATATTAATTTAGGATGTATAAATGACTCCTAAGAAAGTTGTTATATTTAAGTAAGTTTTAATTCGTTATATTTTGAAATCTATGTCTTTAATGGCTTAGATTTTCCATTACAACAAAACCACTGCGTCGGGATTTGGATTAATATAAAACGGTAGGATTTAGACAATGTCATAAGTTAATGCCTTAGAAAGCATGGCCTAAAATGAAATAAAAAAATATCATTAACAGTGTAAGAGGACGTCACACACCCGTTATTTTCTACAAAAAAACTTGGTTTTGTTTGTTACTAGTTCATGTTCCTTTTTATCCTTATCATGTAACCTTTGAAATGTTACCTCATGATTATTGTTGTCTAAGTAATCTTTGTTATTAGTGTTTAATCCCTTTGTTTTTCAACCATTTCGGTTATTTTTGATAAGACAGGCTTGTCCGCCGAGGTTTCTAGTGTTGTCTTCAAATCCGTTATGTATTGGTCTTAAAATGCCATTCTTTTTTGTATGTCTTTTATTCATTACCTAATAATTTGTCACTTACCACTTTCAACATTTTTTGAGCACCTTTGTTTTGTATTGAATCGTAGTGGTGTCACACTGTGTATGTGTAGGTAAATCATAATAACAACTTACTTGTCTATATTTATCTTAGAAGTTAAGCGATATACTAAACGTTATCTAATTTGAAATAATAACCGACTTCATAATCGTTTACATATTCTGGGAGTCATGTAAACGTATTGCAAATAAATTGGAAGTCGGCGAAGTCGATAAAGATAATTTTTTCAAATCTGAGACAAAAAAAGAAGAAAATGAAGATTTAGCATTTGTAAAAGACGAATTTTTGGATCTTCATTATACTGAGTGAATCCATTATTTACTGTCATTTTGATAATGAAATTTTTACCTTAATTTGTTTAACCATTTAAAAGGTAAACTAAAAACCAGTACAGTGGTGTCGGATCATAGTGGGGACGGGGAGGTCACAGCTTTACAATAATGTTTATATCTGAAAGTGATAAAATCACTTTCGAAGAAACGCTTCGATGCAAATCGGTAGTTAGTATTTTTAAGCCAGTACAGTCCAAACCAAGCACAGTGTGACCGATAAAATTACAAAATAAAACCATCAAAGCGTAAGTGATTTTATTTACTTTTATTTATAATAATTCCTGTAGACCTTTGACCTCTCCGTCGCCTCGTTGTTGTGATTTCATTATACCTATATTCTACTGTACTAGGCCTCTCGGATAAAATCACTTTCAAATATATATCTATTAGGCAAATGCAATTGGCTTGTTGTTCAATTAACAACGTCTCCACGAATATCTACTCTGTATATTTTTGTACCTACCTATAATCATTTTCAGTTAAACTCTATAATAAAAATAATCTTAAGGTTTTAAAATCATCTCTGATATTTTATTCAAAAATCATCTTTAATCAGTTTCTTTCTACATTGTGTATAAAGGCAGAGATAAGGTTTACAATAATATTAAGAAACTTAAAAAAACACCAGGAATACACATAACTAATTTGACAGAATTTTTTTTATTAATAAACTGAAAATAAATAACAACATATTTTGGTAATAAATGTATAGAAGAAACAATTATAAAATGAATTGTGAAAAATTAATGTATTTACTGTTAAAAACATCGAATGTTAACTAATTCCTACTATTACTAATTAATAGACATAATATAGTACATTTTTTATTATTAGACACCAAGGAGCATAATATTTCAATTGATAATTACATAAAACCGGGTCAAATATTACTCGTATTATTATCATTATGATTATTAAACATGTCCAATTAATTAATTAATTTTCAGTCATCGTCGTCGGATTCAATGCGGCCTTCTAAATTAATCGTTAACAAACCAATTTCAGTATACTCCGCGACGTTTATGGCTTTATTAGCTAAAAAAAGTAAAATTCATTTTTTTTACTAGGCGATAACCGACAATCGTCTTTAACAACATTTAAACACTGTTTAAATTAACTTCACCTTTGAATATATTTATATAATGTTGCGCTCTATCGAAAACTTCTGGTGACTCTTTTGATGTTGCCAAATCACTCATTATCATGTACTTTAGGTCTGCAGCATACTCATCCGAAGATAGTAGACCGTCTCCGTTTTTGTCCATCGTAATGAATTCTTGAGTGCCATTTACGACCTCGATTACACTGCCTACTCTTATTTCCTAAACAGTTGTTAATGTACAATAGTTATTAATTGTTAATGGAGATAGGAAAACAAACATAACATCGTTGAACTTTAAAAGTTATAAAAAAAAAATTATGAATGAAATTACATTTTTCGGAACGGTTATATTGCGTTCTGCCGCAACGATGATTAAATCCATCAACAATATTTCAGGAGATCCTGTACGAGTTTTAAGAATTAGTAGTTCTCCAATTACTTATCATACCTAGTAAAATATAAACAAAATTTCTTACGTTTGGATTCAAATAGGTTTTTCAAATCGTCTTCTATTTGTATACCAAGCTTTTGGAACACTTCTCTACTTGCGTCAGCGTTAATGCCATCGGATGTCTTGTGTGCTTCGTACAAATCAACAAACATTTCTATTTGTGCTAGGATCAGACCACGGCCCTACAATGTATTGAAAAAGTATTAATTTAAGCACTGTCCCAAAAATCGATAATAGTCTATTGACATTTTTTATAATTAAATAAAAATAAACTGAATTCAATCTTAAATATGGAAAGTTCAAAATGTCTAGCATGAATTTGATAATAGAAATGTTTACGTTTGATTAGTGTATGTATTTTTATAAAGGGAATTTTTGTACTAGCACGGTTTTTAGTACTATTTTCAAAATAAGATTCCCACAAAACATCATTGAACTAATCATCTTATAAATGATGAAATAATTGTTGACCTTTTGTTCACTTAAAAAATCACAGTAGGTATTTGAATTGTTCAATGGTTAGACGCAATAAATGGTTTGATGGAAAAAAATTGCAGTCCATATAAAAAAAAAGTTTTCTTAATTACATTTTGCGAAAAAAAGCATATACTTATATAATAATATATACTTATTAAGCATACACTTAATAAGTATGTGGTTTGACCCCACTACGCCTATTTTTAAAGAGTAAAGTATAGGCAATGTTTTGCAAATTCGTAATTTAAATGTTAAACTGTAATGTGTAATTATTAGTTCAGTAGTTATGGTTTTTTTTTTTGGTAGTTAATTTATTTTTCTACCACAGCATCTTTAGCAGCGATTTAAAAAAAAATGTCACCTTAACAGAGCTACGCATTCAACTAATAATCATCAACATATCAATAATCAACATAAAATAATGAGAACTTTATCTTATTTGTCTCGCCGTTTTGTTTTTATATTATCAACCAAACATTCAAAGCTATTATTTATATTCAGACATTTCTTTATTTTTTTAAGTGCTTGTATTTATAGTAAAATTTAGGTTTTTAATAAAACCTACGCGAAAACTTAGCTCATTTTTTTTAACAGGTCTAACAATTTGTTTCTATGGACATTTCGCTCAGGCCTACGCATTTTTATACGATTATTTTAAAGGATATGCCGTCCTCTTAGCGGAAAATCAAAATAACAGAAGAGATATGAGTTAAAAACATGGAAAAAAGAACATTGTAAAAGAAAAATGTACAGTCAGGGCGACAGTACAGTTTTAAAAAAATTGAATTATTTCATTTTTTTTTCACCATTTATAGTTTTTTTACTTTTAAATATTAACTTATTTTGTTTTTTGAATGTGTTATTTACGTGTAGACCAAGTTCTTTTAATATATTAAAAATATTTTCAAAAGAAATAAATATCATAGGAACTGTTTGTTTGCTTTTTTTTTTTAAATTCCTTATCTAGAAAATTTCTATATAATGTGTCTAGAGAATTTATTTTCCTTCTTTATTAAAATTTTGCTGGCGTATTGCGCTTACTTTTGGTTTGATGTCCATCATAGTCAACAAGAAATCCACCGCGTTCATTACAGTGTATTCTAAAATTGAATTAAGAACTAAAAATATTGTACATCATGTTTATCACTACCTATTGTATTACCATCGGTTTCAAGGTTTTTAAATTTTTTGTTGAATGCATGATTTATAGTTGGCCAATAATTGAAAACTGCTGATAGCTGTTGAAGATAAATATACCCCTTTTGATTATGCAATTTAAAGTGTTTCTCAAACTCATATAGGTAAAACGATACTTCCAAAAAAGTGAGTTTTTTAACCTGAAAATAATTTATTAATACAGAGTGATTGCTTATAACAGCAATGACCTGACCATAAAATTATCTTGAACAAATATCTTAGTTTACAGAGTGTTTCATTAAAGGTGAGATGTTAATTTTCTCTAAAAAAAACATACTACGAAATCGGAATTATTTTAAGAGTAAATAAGTATCTCATCCTTAAAAAGTCAGCCTATATAGTAAAACCGTTTAAAAATTTGAATTTAGAAGAATAGGGCCCTGAACTATATACATGGAAAGCGCATAGTGAAAATAAATTGGCGACACACGGATTCCGCCATTTTGAGTCCTGTCATGGATAAAACGTTGTAATATACCATTTATTTCATGATAAAAATCTGATAACATCGTATTATCTTTTATCACCGGTTAAAAAAAATGATATCAACAATATGAAGTCAGAAACCATCATCAGAAAAAATCACTTAACAAAATTAGATACGGTAAGTAAAATAAGAAAACGGATTCAAAATGGCGGCTTCCGAGGCGGGTCACTTTTATTATATGGAAAATATGCATTATGCACCTTCCATGTATACAGTTTAATGGAATGGGGTTAAATTTTTGAAAAATATATCAAATTTTAGCTATTTCATAAATTTAATAATAGTATGAAAAAGAATAATTTTTAAAAAGGCACAGGGAACCAACGCATATAAAACCACAGTTTTGATATTTTCCTATATTTGGTATATATATATATATCATTTAGAGTTTATACTAGTTAATTTGAGAACTTTAATACCTTGATTTTGTCAGTACGTTTGACTTCATTGTCGACCACTATCCACAATAAATAAAATAAATTCATAGAATCGGACTCATCTGTGTACAAATTGTTTAGTTGTTAATTAATTCATTCATTTTATAATTAAGTCAGTTATAACGATAGATTTTGCCTGACACACTATAAGCTTCCAAACCAAACCTACCAAGTCTAATATGTCAGATAGCACCAAGGGCTGGTCGTGCATTACAAATTGAATATACCTAATGATACAATATATTATATACAAGCTGTTGCCTAACCTAACCTAACCTACCCGGCGTTGCCCGAGATTTAGTCTGCCAGGGCTGAGTAAAATAATTCCCATTCTCCCATTCCCACCCCATCCCCATCTTCATCTCTTATCTCCTATCTCCTATCTTCTATCTCTTATCAGATAACAGCGTGACAGCGTTTTCTCGCGCTTCAGCGTTTTCACGTTGACAACACTTTTTCCGGTTATTATCTCCTCCTCTTACTCGAGGGTCCCAGTCCCGGTCCCAGATTCCGTTCCAACAGTCGAAAGGTTGCCCAGAATCGTTGAACATAGAATCGGCCTGTTCCTTAAATCATCATCTACCATTTGCTTGAGTACCGGGGTTACCATGGTTATAAACATTTAATTTATTTACATTTCGTATTTAAAGTACAAAGTTCGTGTTTGATGCTACCCTTAGGGGTGGAATTTTCAAAAAGTACTATGCCATTTAGGTTTGCGGGAATGTACTCAACAACTTCCCAAAGTTTTATAGCGATCAGATGAATGGTGTACTAACGCCCCCAAGAGCTCCTCCAACTATACCTCTTTTTTTTTACAAAAACTATTAATAATGTTAAACACAATGTGTTAAACATTTTATTCTAGACCTATATCAACTTTTAAAACATAAATGGTAACGTATATATTTTGTTTATGAATGATTTAGAAATAAATATTCAACATAAATAGGTTTAAGTTTTGACATAGATATGTCTTTAGGCTAGGGGTCAATAAGAAAATCGGCATCACGCAGAACGTTACCGAGATAAATTTGTGCATGTGGCGTGATCTAGCGGTTGCAAGTGATTATATATTAGAGATAAAATATTAGGTACTCCTAATTAGGTACTCCAAATTAATTACTCTTAACTAGGTACTCTAATGTAAAGAGCGCATATCCCTTAACGGCCATAACGGTAGACCTAAATTTCCCAACAGATAGGTATAATATAATTGTTTAGCAACATGTTACCTGAACTGAATATAAACTCAATGGTAGAATATTCCATTTTAAAAGTATTTTCCACAACTTGCCTGATTGTCTCCACACTAACTTCATGACTAGTCAGTTTGTAAGGTTTATACAGGTCTTGCAACAGTTCTAATTGATCACTGTTCAGTCCGGTGCTCTGAAATAGAGTACGACGGCTTTCAATTGTATTGGTAAACGTACAGAATGAATCTATTGCCGATGACGCAGCAGATTTACACTAATTTGTACTGTATCATATATAATCGGTATGTATTTAATTTTAGCATGCTCGAAAACGACAGAAAATAGCGTCACATTTTAAGTGTATGAAATGTCTTGAGGCAAGTCTTTTTAGATCTGGACAATTATTATAAAATAATAATTACATTCAGTGCACCAAATACCTAAATTATTTTATAAACTTATTATTTACTTATTAACAGCTGTTTTTTAAATATAATTGATAAATTTATATACATTAAAAATGTTTTAAGTTAGCCATGAAATGTACAAACCCATATATTGATATATTTTTTTAAATGAGTAACCAAATATTCATCGTTATAAATGAAAAATAATTTCACAACGAGTTCAATACAATTAATGGTTAAATTAATCCAAAATAACTAACCAGGTGAATGTTGCCAATAAACTGATTAAGGCAAATATTAAGACTTCTAAAAACATTTGGCTACAACATACAATTTAGACTACTCTAGCATCATAATATATAAATATATATATATATATATATATAGTAAGGAGTAAATAGATCTGAAAATAATCATTATTCAAGAGCCAGCAGGCTAAAGCATGTTCCATGTTTTATAATTTTAGCCGTTAGGCTTTAAACAGACTATAACATTTTTGAAATTATACTATCCAAGATAAAAAAAAATATAAACACAGTATCATAATCTTACCCATGCTGACGTTAGTAAGTACAGCGCGCAGAAAATAAGGGCGCACTTGAAATGCATAATTATGAGTTTTATTTAAAACGACGACAAAAATTCAATCGAGTACTTGTAACAATGTAGCTCTAAGACTGTTGGCGCTGAAGTCGACCGTCGAATAAACTCTAAAATAATTATTTTCTACGTTTCTTTTGGTGGTGTTGTCTACGGTTATTCGCTAGATAAATACAAAACCGTGTTTTTGCAAAAATGTTCCACTACTTATGTTTACAAAGGTGTGTTCTTATTTTTTTCACCACGGCCGAGTAGGTTTTTTTTCTACAATAACATGTTTTTCTCATTCACCCGTGTCGATAACAGTCAACAGGGATAGGAAAAACAATTTTTTATTTTACTGCCTGCACATTGGCAAGTGATTATATGAAATACCTATGGTTTTGTTGTATTTCTTTACAAAATAATTCATGAGAAATCGTGACTTTTCCGATTACCTGATATGGCCCACTTTATTTGAAAAACGATACCTAATAAAATAATGTTAATAAGAACAGAGAGCAGATAATTACATTTAATGCATTTCGATAACGATCAAATCGCTTTCAACTTGGTGCTAATTTATGACCATTTTGTCTTGTATCTAATAGTTCTCTATGGACTGTGATTACTTCATTTTTTCTTTAAGCAAATTGCAATTTAGTTGCCATGTTATTTTACAATACTAGACAGAATTTTTATATTTTCTGGTATTTTCCAGAGCTTTTGAAACTTTTGTAGCTTAAATAATAACGTAAATACATAATTATTATTAGGCCTATATTTATTATTATATGCTGCTTATTATTAAGATTGTCATTATTATTTTTTAGAGACTCTCGTCCATCAAAACAAGGATTTTATCCTTAGTGATGGACGATGCAGTGTAATACGAATATATGTAAACATTTCTTGTAAATTTCATTACTGCTGAATAAAATTACCATTCAGTATCATTATCATTATCTATCTTAAAAAAAAAAACTACTTTTTAAATTCAAATTAATTTGCTAAGATGTGTGTGAACAATCGGTCAGGTTTTAAGTATACATTTTAAAACTTAAGTTACATATAGGAAGTAAGATATTGTTCAAAACTAAAGATGTTTGTTTTAAATATAGAGATGCGCACTGTTTAGTTTTAAAATACAAATGCCCAATGGAACGCAAATATTGAGCTTTTTAGCACAATCGTATTACATTTTATCATATACCTAGCGCAGTTTCTAAATTGCAACACAGATAATTTATAATGTTGTTTTATTACAATTTGCAACCGCTGGCCGATAAAAGTTCGCCGATACGGAGGGTCGATTTACTTAAATACCAGGCTAGATCAATGCCAACTTCAGACATCATTCCATCAGCTTACATTACTCACAGTCCACGTCCCTCTGTTTCATGAACTAATTTTGAAGTTGTAAAATTTTGTTAAATAATTTTGTGTTGTTTCTTTCCTATTTGTGTCAATAACAATTGTTTTTGGCATATTTGGCCACTTTTGGTGTTATTATTTCAATTAAACCCTCTCTTCAAAAACCAACGCTCAGCTCGTAACACGTTTAACGTGTTTGCAGTACCTAGTGACCAATAAATATAAGAATCAAGAGAAATATTATAGCTGGTATAATCAGGCCTCGCACACGGATAAAAATTAACACGGTAAAGATACTTATCGCACAAAAACGATATTCTTAAGGTCCACCACTATACCTAATTAAGATAATAAGATTAAATAAAATTATATAAGCTGATGGATGGATGTGTCCTTAGCTACCCTGATTTCTATCTACTCTAAATCAGTCGTCCATTTTAAGATACTGAATACTATAATGAAAAATTACGTATCTTATTATATATATAATTTACCTTGGTTAGACAATTGTTTATGTACTAATATCTCAGTTAACGGCTATCTCTCGTCACACCGACTTTAACTTTATGTCGTGGGACTACACATAACTTATCTACAAACAAAGTTATTCACACTTTACTTATTTACTATAATAACTAACACAAATTATCCAACAGTATCCAATGTGCGCCGAGTTGCCCTTATGGCTTCCTGTGAAGACACCACACAATGGCGCGTATTGGATACTGTTAAAGAAAACCAGACTTCAATTTATCTTAACTATCCAACAGTATCGAGTACGCTCAACGTAAACGCTAAGTTTCCAAGGGCTGCGTTTTACAGCTTCCCAAGGAACTGTAACTGGATAACTCGTATCGGACTATTAAAATGAACCGAGCTCCGATTGTCTTAACTATTCAACAGAATTAGTACGCGCTCTACGTTGTCATTGTGTACCTGAAGGTTCGCGTCTAGATAATTCTTATTGGACTTTATGATATAGAAATAAAAGAGAAAACATAATTTAATCAAAAGAACAATTGAAAACTGTTTTAGTCGCTAGATAAAACTCCTCTTCTATAATGGAATCTATAATGTAAGAGTAACTAAAGAATTAAACGCTCTCAGTTTGTTAGTTGTACATTCACTGATTACATACTTAACATACTACAATACATTTAAATGACAACTACACATAGGGCTTTACCCGCATAATTTTGCACAATGGCATCGATCTATTATTCCTATTCCCCCAGCTTCCCTTGGTTTCATTTACTTGACCTTCCCCGCAAGAGTACAATTGCTTTGGTTATGAATTTAGGTAATTTTCTAAGTTATTTTACTCTGATATTTAATAATTATAATTTTTGTAGATGAGAAAAAAAATGCAAAATGAGTGTAATGAGGGGAACGGTTTTGAGCACAATGTTTCCCGCCGGGCCGAGATAAAAAATAACGCCATTTCTCGAGCATATTTTGCGAACAGCTTTGCGTACGACGCCCTCTTAATATCATTTGGTAACAATTTTTCGGTAATCTTAGTGCCAATATCAATATTTTCTAAATTTACTGTATCATCTATCATAATTGTTTCATCTTCAGTAACAAATAAATTATCGTCAGCCACGTTGCATCCAGGCTTAATATTGAATTTTTTACCAGTCTTACAAGTTTTTTCAGTCTTTATTTTCTTTTGAGTCACATTATTTTCTACAGTTTTAACTCTTTTTATATTGAGTTTATCAGTCTCAGTGTCAATATAACTATCAATACTTTCTAAATTTACTGTAACATCTATCATACTTGTTTCATCTTCAGTAACAAATAAATTATCCTCAGTTACACTGCATCCAGCCTAAATATTAAATTTCTTTCTTCTGCCAACTTTCTCTATTACTTTGCCATACATGGTTTCTTTAAACAGGCATGTAATACTTGTGGTATGATAACTGATGCAGAATTATCTAACTCATCTTCTGGTAATTTTTTTAATACACAATCTCTATCAACAGAATACAACCCAGTTGCTTTTATAAAACCTGATTTTATGTTGTCTGATTGAGAAGCTGATATTTTTTCAAGTTTTTACTTTAATAATCTGAGAAAAAATTCTTTTTCAATTGGTCCTTTCCTACTCTTTTTATGAATTTCTAAAACTCTACGCCAAGCAATTTTAAGTGGCCTAAAATAAGACACATCCTGTAGTTGGGTCAAATGGGTACTATTAAGGGGAACAAATATAAACTTAATGATATTTTCATTACAAAGCTGTATTATTTTAACTGACATGTGACTAGCTAAATTGTCTCCAACAACAGCTTTGACCCTTGTAAACCACGACAATGAGGTGTAATAATTGATATGAACCAATCTTCGAATATGCATTGATCGAACCAACTAGAAGGAAATCGGTTATACATGCATTCATCAGGGCCTCCAGAAGTCCAAGAGTTCGAAAATTGTAAAGATTTATAAACAACATACGAGAGTAACATTGAACCAGATGCATTGACTGCAAACATAACCGACACTGATGATTTGGAAGAATCCATAATTCTAACTGCATGTTTCGATATTTTCCTGACTAGAACCTTTTGTCTACCTTGATCATCACCAAAGTTGGTCTAATCATAATTAATTATGTTTTGAGGAGGTATGTCTGAAATAAAATTTTGTAAGTTGTCAAAATATTCATTCATTATTTTCCTAGACAGCTGCACGTGAAGGTTTAATATTCTCACCTAGCCTAGAGCCCATTATATCAGAATGTCTTTTTATAAAATTTCTATACCATACATCACCAAACATATTTTTTTTAACAAGCGAGCTAAATCAAAAATTTATTTTGCATCACATAAATATTCAATATAAAAGTTGTATTTATCCTTTTTATTGTCTTACATGTAAAATGTTTCAATGGGTGGTAAACACGTTTATTGTATTTCTTCCAAGGAATCAGTATATTCATATGGGTACGTAGCTTTTTTCGTAAATTGGCAAATTTCTTTTTCACTGTTTGCATTCAAATAGACCAAAATTTCGATTCAATGGCATTAGTTAGATTCTTTGTAAGTCTACTCAAACTTGAACACATAAATATATTCAAATCAATTAACAATGAACTTGTTAGAAATCAATTTCGAAAAAGAAAGACATTTTTCTTCACTGTTAGGGATTACTTGAGTAGTTTACGCATCGTATCCTAATTCTGTCACTATGAAATGTCTAGCATAAATTATTAGATTATAAAATATGAATGTGTAGCTGTAGTCTTGAGGCTTGCATTTTGTTCGCTACTCTCTGGAGTTTTTACGAAAAGTTATCGAAATCCGCGTATATAGCGAAATAGTGCTCAACGGCGACATCTATCTTTCCGCTAAAACCTTATTTGGACTATTACGAATTAAAAAAAATGAGGCAAATTGGTCCAGTCATTCTCAAGTGATGCGTGTTGTAACGAAAAACATATATATTTTATTTATGTAGATGATAATTTACCAATAGTAAATTATCTCTTGAGTATAAATCAGTGGCGGATTAAGCAAAATGCCTCCTATAAGCAGGACATTTGCCGTCCTTTCGTTTTCGAAATTAAAAAAAAAAACAAAATACATAAAGAAATAATTTAAATTATTCTGTATTAATTTAATTGAATACAATAGTCAATACGATTACCAAAAAGGTTGTTTCTCGGCTCCTTGGAAAATATCATCGGTATCAATTGACTTGTTGTCCATGTTGATCAAAAAATTGA